TAAACTTTGATTTAGTGCGGACATGGTTAAATTATATAATGTCTCTGAAATTTAATTAGGTATGTTTATTTGAAATAACATGGTATTCCAATAATTCTCATAGAGACAATAGGAAACAGCAGTTTAGAACAAACAACATTTTCTATACTTCAACGAATCATCTGCCAAATCCAACGGAAACTGTTGTCAATAAGTACATAATAATTAATAGTTAGGATATTAATGATTTGATTGGTTTTATTGTAATTATAATGGCTCTATACTTTGTAAATGAAGTGAAAGTTGCCCTTCGGTCCATCATTTTAACTTCATGTATATACATGTAGTTAAGTCATTTTGACAATTAGTTCGGTAAACAGTTATAATTTTTATAAATAATACCATTTTACTGAATAGTTCTAAGATTAGAGCAAAGACGAAGAAATTATTATTGATATCACATATATGTATATGTAATTGGAAATATTTTTTTCTTTTTTATGTTGTTGCAGTTCAAGTATTCACAAGGGTCAATCTCAAAAAGTTTTCAACGTATCGTTTTGTATTGTAAATGTTCAATAAATTATGCTGAAAATTCAACAATGATAACATTTATTAGTTTTTTTTTTCTTTTATTAACATTTATATCGTCCTTATACTGTTTAAATTGTTGATAGATGGACATTTATTCAGATATTCTGACAAAAAGAACCACAACTTACCTGGAGAAAAATCGTGCACATACTGGAGCTGTAGCTGTTTAGAAACCAAGTGGAGCTAAAAAAGATAAAATTGGTGCGGTTTTAATGATTCCGTTGGTAAACTACGCCTTTTACAAGCATCGGCGTAATCAATGCTATAAATACTGCTAACCAAAGACCGCTTTACATATGTTTATATTCCCGAAGAATCACAATTGCGTGTCGTTTTTTTTTGGGACTTTTAAACACTAGTAAAACTAAAGTTGCGTTATGTGAAGATAAATTATAATCAAAATGTTAATTGGTTATTTGTATATTAATCTTTTATTGTAACTTATAAGGATTATGTTATAAACTATTCAAATGCTAAGCACCATAAGTTTATTATGTTATCAACAGATGTCTCTCCAGATTTTGAAAATTCTGTTTCAGCAATGTTTTCGGATAGTCCCCCCCCCCCCCCCCCCCTGACATGAATTCATGTTGACTTACCCGTTACAAGTCGTCTAGTAGCATGGAAAACATGTTTCTGGTGGGGTGTACAATCACATGTTTTTTGTTCTACGGCAACATAACCGGGTCAACTTCTCCCCTAGTAAAAAATCACTTTAAACACATTTATATGGTTTAAATTACCTTCAGCTGAATTGATAAAACAGTAAATCAACATTTAAAACCTTTCGTATGGCGTTTATAAAATTATCCCACTCAAACATATGGTCGAGTACATTTGTAAAATATTATGATATGACATGTGGTTATGCAACACATCACATATCGTAAATAAACTCCTCTGTATTACATTTGTGTGGAAATGTGTGTTTCCATATGTGTAAATCAGTATGAAATTGCATTTTGGTAATTCATTACAAATGTTCAAAATGAAATGCCAATTAAACATTGAAATTGTGCATAAGCGTCGCTTTAATTTTCTGTAATATCAAAGCATTGATAAATGATTCAAATTATTTTTATGAATGCAATGATAAATGAAATCAAAATTGCTCTTCATTGTAATCGTTGTACTTGCAAATACATATATAAAATTCACCAATTGGCAGTATAGTTTATTTCTTGTACATATCCTATTTTTTCATTAAGTATGATTCTACCTTTGCAAAAAAAGTAATAATGAATACCCAAGCTTATATAGATTGAAACTTTTAACTTGAATCAAGAGGTCAAATAAATCCGTACGCTTTTTATTGGATAGTACAATAGTTAAACGTTGCGTATTATGCTGTATAAAGAAAAATTGAATACTACATGTATTAAAAACGTCATGTAATTTCCCGTGATATATTACTAAAAGAAATATTTTGATTTGATTAACATTCATCAGGTGAGTTGTTGAGTTTTCAAAAAAGAAATTATAAATCTATAAGTGACCTACTTTTAAACATTAAATATATTGCCTATGAAAACATATTTTTAAAAATGAAATATTTTCTGTTCAATATGACTTTTAAACCTTCTAATTATATATATTTTGCATTGATATATCTTTGTGTTCCTTAATGTAAAAATAATATCTGATGAATTTATATTATATCTAGAATGATATTTCGCAAAGCATAAATAACTACTGACTTCGTTATTATAATTCGAATAATTAAATTTTACCAGTAGTGTAATAAAGTTTTTCTTAATTGTATTATGGTGTATTTACTTTTTGTGTATATTAAGTATTATGATTTATGATTAAACTTTGAATAAGTATTATTGAGGTTTAAGATAAGAAGATGACGTCACTATATAAAAGTAATGGTATATACACTAGTTATACCAGCACTACTGGCAGAGATTGTAGAACAATGGAACCGGAAACATTGTGTTTCTGTCAACATGGGTAATAATACTTCAGATCTGTATATGTATTTTTGAATTCTGAAACAATCTGATTTGTATTTATTCATCATTTTTATTATTTCTATTGATTTTTACACTTACTTTACATGTTGTATGTGGCCCTGAAGAATGAAACACAAAATTCAGATATGTCTTTCATAGTTTAAATCATTAAATCATTACTTCTAATCTTGCTTTTTAGACTTGCTAAAGAAATTAATCAAGACTAAATATTCATTCATTCATTTTCAAAATAACATTTTATTGCTTTAACTGTCACGAAAGAGAAGTTTACGTTACAAAATATTTTACGTTATATATACTAACTTTCCGTAGTTTCATCTATTGTATCTATATTATAATAATTTATGTAGTTACAAGAACCACAAGGTTAATTTTGAGGAGGTTCCTAAAGAACGCCCAATAAAGTTACCATGCCGGGTCTCTGGTTGTAAATGTACCAGCTTTCACTTCGTACCTCCTCTCAACTGCTGCTCGCCAATACGCTGTCATTGTAAACACACTCCCGACGAACATTCAGAATTCGGAAAATATATTTGTAAAAGAGGTAATGAAAAGTTTGTACGCGTTGTTGTTGATATATTGAAATAAAAATAATATCAGGAAATACTCTTTTGATGCTGAATTTAGAAACCCATAGCCTACTGAATTTGTGAAGTGCATTTGTCCTGTGTTGCATTTCCGGCATTTCCGTATTAAAGCTAACCGTGGCAGACTGCAAAGAAGTTCAGATTTGTGTGGCTCTTTACTTGGAACAAAGGCTTGTCACTTTCAGGTGATAAGTCTATATACAGTGCATATTGTACATGTATATAATGCAAATGTATATTCCAATCGGCATAGCCCTTGCTGCTTGAACAATAATGTAGTAACCACAAAATGTCTGAAAAATACAGGAATCCCATAACAGATGGATTTTTATCGATCACTTTATGTATAAACTGTATTTATAACTTATACTTTTATTGGATAAATAGTAGAAATGACGATGAAATGATTTATATAACAATGTTATCATTTGTCTAGTGTTATAATTTGATCCATCTCTTTCAGCTGGATGTACTAGCTGTACTGGATTTTCTAGCTCATTCATTTGCGGATGTGGTGTACCCGTTAATAGCCATACAATGACTATTGAAAAGGTGATGGGTGAAAACAGCCGAGGAAAAAATTGGCCCAAATAAGGCAGGCGTTCTTAACAATCGCCCTAAAAATTAAATTTTACTATATTTATTGTTTTCTTTTATTTCGTTTTTTAGGGAAAAGGTTTACTGCCCCCCTTATATTTTGTTGCATTTTTTGGATTTTTTTATCATTTTTTTGTCGGCACATATTTATAAAATAAATCGAATAAACGTCATTTAACTTGTAAAAAATTTCTTGTCTGTTAAAATTCAGTATTTGTCAGATTTATAAAACCGATACAAATAAAAGTGTGTTTAAACAAGATAAATTTTCTTCTTCGTTATGATGCAGATTACCCTTATTAGTGTAGTAGAGGAGAATTGAAGAAAGTTGGAAAAGGTTTTACAGGTAATTTTATTCTTTTTTCATGTATGTCATGAGTACATCATGTATGAGCACACCTCATTTAACAATACAAAAGATTAGATATTATTAAAATAAATCATGGGAAAGGGGTTTCGTTTTCGATAATCTGCATTTAATTTCTTGTCTGTTAAAGAGATAACTTTACCCTTAGTCTCACACACCTCATTTATACAATTAGAGAGGATAAAGAGACTGACAATGATAATTCTTTAATAATGGGTATTTGAAAAAAATGGCAAAGATAAGGATATTGAAGCAAACTACTTTTCATTAATTACTAAAATGTTGTACATTCGGTTGACAGGAAATCAGCTACATAAAAAGCAGAACAATAAGACAATATGATTATCTGTTTTTGTAATAAGCATTTTCTAAAACAAGCTCAATGATTCCCATTTCTCCTCTTTATATGTTTTTGATACTCTCAAAATATTTAAATGTCCTGTAGGCTATTTTTCATTGATTAAATTTGCCTTTCGGAGAGCAACGTAAGTATAATCATGTTATATATGCATTGATTAATTTAATTTCAATAAAATTCCTTTCAGGTGCCCTTCAGTACTGACAGTTCAAGATGTCCCATCTGTGACGAGAGGAACAGAGGATATTTGTATATCACGTGGTCACATCCTCTGCAAATTATGTGATAAAACACAAAAATCTAGTGGCAATAATCTGTGATAGTGCCCTTTTCGTCGGACAACCATCTAGAGCATAGGAAACATTCACTATTAAACTATCAGACAACAAGACATAATCATCATTCTCAGTTGAATTTTCATTACGATGTTCTTTGTAAACATTCTATTCAGTGCATTGCTCACTTTTGTATAATTTTATTGCACTGTTTTCATTTTCAATTTGTGTCGAAAAGTTAAAAGAAATTTTACAGCCAGAATAAACTTATAAAGAAGAAACGCACCATAACACTTTTATATATATAGATTTTGAGTGATAACCCTCTGTGTAAAGTATTTTCTTTTATCTGGAACAAAACTGAAAAAAAAGATACTTGATATATCAAATTTAAACTTCAAAGATTTATAGATCTTTTTAAAGAAAGGAAACTTTTTCAAGAACAATAATTCTTTTATGCATACTTTTGGATTTATCGAACATTTATTTGTTCATAAAAGTTAACATGTCCCGGCCATGATAATGGCAAGGGAAAATATAGTTTTAACCCTGTCCGTCTTTATGTGCGTGTTCGAAAACCTTGTCCATCCAGTAATGATGTCATGCATGAAGGGATTTTTGAAATAACGTAGCATAATTGTGTAGCTTGATGACTAGGTTTATCATTTGCAAGTCCTAGACCCATAGTTTCAAGATATAATCCACATAAGTCAAATGGTCAAAGGTCAACAGTGAGAAAATCTTGCCTGACCCTTATCGCTGTCATGAATCAGGGGATTTGAAAATAACTTTGCAACTTGATGATAACCTAGATCTAGACTAGCTCCAATGTAAAGGTCAGACTTAGAGGTCAAAGGTCAGTAGTCAGAACATCGTGTCCGGCCGAAACTCTGTCATGTAGCGAGAGAATTCGAAACAAATTTGCACAAATCATATTGAGACGGTATGTGACTTGTAAAAGCAATACTTCTACCTCCAAGGTCAAGGTTACACTTAATCTGGGGATTATAAATAAACTTAGCATGAGGAGTCGGTGTGTCATGCGTAAGACCTAGAACCTTCGATCCAATGTAAAAGTCACTCTTAGAGGTCAAAGGTCAGCTGTTAGAAAATCTTGTCCAGCCAATATTCTTGTCATGTATCAATGGATTTAAAATATATTTTTGTAAATAGTACACATGTGTAGCATGATCAAGGGATTTTGAAAAATGTTAGCGCATTTGTTAAGAATGACGAGATAGTGTGACAATTGCATGACATAGACCCCTAGGTTCTAGGCCAAAGATCACACCTAAAACTTAAAGGCTAGAAAATCTTATCCAGTCTAAATGTCAGATGGCAAATGTGTTAAGCATTATGATTCCTTGTTAGCAATTGTGACATTCAATGATTTGACAATACTTTACTTTGTCTTATCATAAATTTGTTATCCTTACATATATAGCGGGGACATCCGTGTCTTTCAGACACATTGCTAGTTTTACTTTGTAATTTATCATGTTTATTTTTTGTCTACAGCCTATAAAGTTAACACGATTTATCAGGAACTAGATATCACTTTTAAGACTCCAAGAATTGTTTTGTTCAATCTTTAATTAATTGATACATGAGGATATTTATCCCACAATCAATATATTGAAGTAAATCAGAGTTTATGTTGTAAACATTATGATTTTCCTGGTCTAATTACATTAACTGATGATTCAGTGAATTTGATAATATGAGCATAAAGATGCTTTCATTTTATTTTTTAATCTTGAGATTGTAATTGTAATAATACTTTAAATGATTAAACAAACAACAAAAATTGTTAAAAATATGTTAATGTTATTATATCTAAAATGGATGACATTTTGCTTGACTGGTTGGCTTTTATATCATTATAACACTCTGATATACATAATTCTAAGTAGCTTTTTTAGATTTTAGAGTATTTCTTGTAATTTTGTTTTTAGACATTTTTATGTTTTTTTTTTTTACCATATACAATTAACAAAATGACCTTTAGAACAAATAGCTATCGGTATTTATGCTAACATTTTTAAAACTTATATTAACGCATGAACGCTAAGTAGACTCCCTTTTTGCAGAATCAAAAATGACACATCCTTTTCAACACATAAAACTAATGTCTATGTGTTCTTTAAAAACATGTTCAAAGGTACATACATGATACATAACATGTAAAAGTATTGATCAAATATTTTATCGTCTATAACTTTTACTTTAAACGTTTGACAAAAGTTTTTAACTTTTTACAGTTTCGTAATAACATGACTCTGTGATAATTTTTGTATTGTTTATATCATTATGTGATATACCGTAGATGATTAATCATAAATGATAATTGTGATACTTATTTCGTAATTTGATTTCATTTCGATGTAAGTCTTGTTAAATATTTTAGATGTAATAAAGATGTTATAAAACAATGAAATAATTTTATTCTATTTTCCACTTTTCCCATATTACAAAGCTAAGATTCACGTCAGTCCCTCTAATCAAGCTGCATGTTATGAAAAGACAATGGAATTGAAAATTTGTGTTTGCAAGTGGTTGCCATTTTGTTTGATCATTACAAATATGCCATTGCTGTTAGTAATTTACATATGTTGTATCTTTTGGTTCGTGTCATGATAACATTATGGCCAAAGAAAAAAGGCGGGTAGTTTCCTCACCATCGTTCCTGGAGAGTTACACCAGTACTAGACTACCTTCCTCCGCGCTAAACTACCAAAGTATCTCCCGAGGATCGAACCTTGCCGTCTGTGGTTAAGGAGTTACATGTATTAGAAACTAGGAAACATTACCCTTTTAAGTAGGACTTAGTCATGATAATAATATGTCATATGTTGCAGTTCGGATTAGAATATCCGTCGCGAGGTTACCCACTATTTGGGCTTGCCGAGTTGCAGGTAATGGGCAGGTATCAAAGAGACAGATATGTCGATCTGAACCGCAAATACATGCCAGGTGTTTCCGTAAAACTAATATGGGGGTGACAGATAAGTCGCGTGTTTTCAATGGCGTCATTTCAGCACACTTCAGAAATGACCTCTGGAAATACATAACAAGAATGACATATATGTAAAATGAAATATTTTTCGCAATGATTGAGCGTTTAACAAAGTAATTAAAGGCGCTGTATGCTTTTCTTTGCTTTTAGTTTATGTCTTTACCGCTCTTACTTTATTTCCCAAAGGTCTTTTATTTTTAGTATACATGTACTTCAGTTTCCAAATAGATAGTTATTTACCAATGGCCTGAACCATTTTTTTGCTCTGTTGCTTTTTGCAAATTGTGCAGTTGTAGTGATTTTGTATTCTGTATGGAAGTCAAAATACTACTTTGTTTACATTTTGCTACCTGTATTACAAATCAACTCACATTTAGCTCTGCTTTTCTCAAGCAAAAAGAATCTAATAGTTTCACAACCATTATTTAAGCATTATTCAATTCATATACACGTATGCCTTTTTTAAAGAAATAAGCATTTATTCTTTTTTGAGGCATAATGTGCCTTTAAACAAAATTACCAAATAGCGTAATAAAGGTTAAACCTATACAGCAAATTGTTACATATCGTAAGAATATATTAACGTATAGTTTACTTATATGGCATGTTCTAACATGAAATAAGTACATATAACATACATATACGTTTTTTTTTCTCACTTCTACATTGAGCATTTTAAGCTCACCTTACTAGTAGGTTGTTCAGTAACTGAACTTAGAGATCATTGATCATACGTTGAGTGAGAACGTTGAAAATTTCTGAACATGCTTAAAATTTTGGTAACTAAAAATTATTTGATCTGAAAATAGTTTATGTAAAGATCATAATGTTTTTAGTTCAAATCTTATTAACCTGATGCCAATGTATTTCTGTTTGACAGTAGTGCCGCTGCTTTTATTTTCATTATTAATTAAGGTTTCATTCTTCCTTGCGATGATATATCTAGACTATAATAATAATAATTTGCCGTTGCACCTAAATTTCGTTACGTCAGTTATTCACAGGCCTGTATATACGCACGTATAGGGGGTTCCCAGAGGTGACTAAAAGTTTCAATAGTGGAGCAATAGGTAACTTGTTAACCCTGAACCAACCAATCAAATGCCTATAGTTTGTACCACTGTGCTTTATTTTTATAGAAAGATAATAAATCATTTATTGCCCCATGCATCATTGTCATACATTGAGGTTAAAGAAGTATGGACAGGGATGATTCTATATATTGCACCATCAACAACAACACAATAATTTTACTGGCAACTGTTGCCGTAAAGTATGCTTGTCTGAGCTATGCACGCGAGCACAATAATTATTTCATATGGAATTATTGGAAATTAATAACAATAAAAAAAATAAAAATATCCCGGAATCTGCATCATAAGTAACCGAAGACGATAGCGTTGGCTCTAAATGAGCTGTTGAACGGTCATTTTAGTGAACATCGTAATACACTAGTCAGTCTATTTGACTTTATACTTTTATGATATGTATATGTATTGTGTTTCGTTTTAAAACCGCAACAAGTTAAACAATCAGATAAATAATTATATTATTTATGAACTTTCAGCATTTGAACCATGTGATGTTCCAGTAAACATCAATATCGGATCTTATCTTATCACTTTAACCGCGTTCCCAATTTCAGAGTGTAAAAACTTCATCTAATCCATATTGAATCCCATACAGCATCGTTTCATTTCAATGTCTAAAATATCTATATTTTTTTTGTTTTTTATCCCCCCCAAAAAAATGCAAACAGTTTATTTGTCTAGCCTTATTTTTACTTTTAGGGTTCACAGTTCATTAATACCTTATTACATTTTTTAAGTAACAAAATTCCATAAAAATATTAGATGAAGAGCTCAAAACTAATATTAATGAAAACAACGTTTATTATATTGGACTAGTACACATACAAAGAATATATAACACGGCTAGCTCCTGCCAATAATAAGATCCGCCCAATCGTTACAAGTCCCGATAGAAATTCAGCAAAAATTGAAAACAAACCAGTGTATAAATATCCTTTTACATAGAATATAAGATAGTTTGATTATAATATTATGCTAAAGGACACAAGTACATTTTCTATATTGATATATATTGAAACCGACTTTATTATCTTCTGATAAGCTCCCCTCCATAGCATGCTACCATGTAACATTCAACTTGTGTATTAATTCTTGGGGAATATTAAAACGTTACTCTTGTTGTTTCTTCTAGTTCAAATATACAATTAGTATATTTACGTGAAATCTCATTTAAGAAATAATAATCATAGCTAATTTCAATAATACTGATTGAACTGTTTATTAATTTTCTCTACGTGACATAGTTTAGTTCTTTATTTTTTCAGATAGTCACGATATATTACTGTGATAACAAAATACTTTAAACTCATTATTTTCAATAACTGTTATTATCTAACCCATTCATTATTATCATACTTCGGATTGCCACGCAACAATCGTCCAGCCCTTGTTCTAGCACGCGAGTTCATCGGCGGGTCACTTTGTTCCTGAGATGAGTTATTTTCCTCGAGAGGTAATTCAGGGGTACTTGAATTTGTATCATGATATTAGACTTGCGCATGAAATGATTCAATATTCGGTTGTGTCTTCCGGACTTTGCGTAATACTGACCGATTTCTCCGATATATGCTGCCGTCAGCAAGTTGTATATGATAGGAGCGGTCACTATGTACTTTTACTATTTTCCCGCGTTTCCAAATTTTTCCTATTTTAATGCGTACTGATTGATTCAAGGACAAAGGTCGCAAATATTTTGCATTTTTGTCGTAATTGACCTTTTGTTGTCTTTCGATTTTTTCATTAGACTGCGCACTTTTGAGTTATTTACTAAAATGGGTACCAGTGCTTTATTTGTAACTGGCACAACGGATTTAGTTCTCCGGCCGATTAACAGTTGACTGGAGAATATCCGCATTCAAGAGGTGTATTACGATATTCTAATAATGCAATGTAAATGTTTGTGTTTGTATCTTTAGCCTTTTGCATTAGTTTTCTGGCGATACCTACTCCTTTTTCCGCAAGACCGTTCGACTGGCGGTATCCGGGGATGAAGTTCTGTGCTCGAAACCCCACTCTTTAGCGAATTCTTTGAATTCGGAGCTTGAAAATTGAGTACCATTGTCTGAGACAAAGACTTCAGGTATTGACAGTCTCGACATGTGCTTCTGAAGTTTCAGAATGACTTTTTTTGATGTTGTGTTTTGTAAATGGTCTATTTCAAAAAATCTTGAATAATAATCAATAGTCAATAGATACTCTTTACCTTGAAAATGGAACAGGTCTGCTGCTATTTTTTTGTAAGGTCTGTCGGGGAATTCTGTAGTCATAAGCGGTTCTTTTGTGTTTGCGTCGCGGTATGTTAGACATATGCTACATTTGCTTACATATTTTTTAATTTGCTTGGACATGCCTGGCCAGAATATTGAATCTTTAGCACGTTCAAGTGTTTTCGTAATTCCCATGTGACCTGTATGTACTTTCTGTACAAGTTCATTTCTCAAGATTTTTGGTATTACAATCGTATGACCTCGAAATATCAGGTCATTTTCTATGCTTATTTCTTAAGCATGCAATATTATCTAATAAAATTCATGATTTAAAATAAAAGAAGGGAAATGTTCTATATTGATATATATTGAAACAGACTTTAGTTACTGATAAGCTCCGCCTCCATAGCATGCTACATGTAACATCACTTGTGTATTAAATCTTGGAATATTAAGACGTACTCTTGTTGTCTCTTCTAGTTCAAATTATACAATAGTATATTTTACTGGACATCTCATTTGAGATATAATATTCTTGATAATATACTTGTCACTAAAACAAAACATACAACATACATGGAAGTCTGGTTATCTTGAAAAAGACATATATACTATTCTTGGCATGTGTATTCTTTAAAGGCTTCTTCTAATTTAATATATTAAGCTTCACAGAAACGCAATTGACAGTGCTAAGATGTTGCTCAATTGTCTACCTATACATTAAGTAAAATTCAAATGAGCACAATAAAAAGAACACCTGAACACGGTGCCTTTACCACGTGACTTTTTATGGCTAGCATAATACAAATAACGAGCAACATTTTATTTCATTTTTGAATATTTCATTTTTTTATAGAATTAAATGTAGAGCACTCTTATTCTTGTGATCAACACATTCATTGATTTTTTATTTAAAAAGTTATCATGGCAAAAAATTCTGGACCGTTTTTTTGTATTGGTTTTTGCCTCTTGCAGATCACAAAACGTCAAGTTGTACAGGCACCATGATATTGAAAACATCCTATTATACAATCTGCCTGTAACTGAGAACTATATAACTGCAACATTTGTACATGCGTTACATTTGGGTGCAGATAATTTAAACAGTAAACATTGTTAATTATATTTGGAGACCTATATCTTTCTAACCAATATGCTTTATTAAATATATATTCAATATATATAACTGTAATATCCAATAATTATATTTCGCAAATTTTAAATAATACGAAGTTGAATTTTACTTAAATTAGCACAAACAAAAATAAACGCTTGAAAGGCCGGACTTAAACCGTTTCAAAAAAGATAATTCTACTTTCACGTGGGAGTTATAAATGAATTTTTATAAATATCTGATAGATTTAATCATTTTATATATGTTTAACTATATAACTTACGTGCAATTACTGAAATTGTCTTCATTTTGATAAATATAAGGGGGGTCAGTATACGTTTCCGTAGTTATTGTTGTGCTTGTTTTTGTATTGTTTTACATTTAATTTATTATTTTTAAATCTACAATCTCAGAACTGAAATAAGACCTTATTAAAACATGTTATTTTTGTCTGGCTTACAGATGTAAACATGCGTAATTCTTTTTATTTGTAATGAAAAGTTTATTTGATACAGAAAATGAGAAACTGTTGTTTTAACTGAAAAGGCCAATGAGGAAATATTTCATTTTATTTCTCATCATATCCTGTTAATGGTGGTTTACTACATTAAAACTATCACGATATCATGTCTTAAGTTTTTGTCAATGCCCCTCATTAGTTATTGCAATATTAGTTTAACCAATAATGATTATGTCAATTGTTAATATGTTTATTTATAAAACATACTAAAGCGTATTAATTGTCTTCTGACAATTAGGTACCTCGTGCACAGTACATTTAATATGACCAAAACTAATGAATTTCTACCTCGCGTATACCTTTGATGTTACATTATTGCAAACAGAAATATTTTATCATCATAAAACTTTAAGCGAATTTGTCTGCAATGTCATAAATATATATTTAAGAAATATTTAGTATCTTTCGCCACAACATGCCATGAAAGAAAGATATATGGATATTTTGTTAAGTGTGAAATTAATGATCCGATATTACAAATATATAAATATAGCAGATAATAGAATTGTTCTGCAACACATTATTATTATCTTACATATAAAAAAATCATACTAAATCACTAGGAACAACATTGCTATTGTTATTTTTTAAGAAATGTTTAAATCTATAAGAGTATTTAAATGATACACTTCTATTATCTTTTGTCAATAGTTTGAAATACAATTAAAAATATGCCCATTTCCAGACCAACCCACTTTAAGCATGATAATATTCAATTCAACCCTAGGAATATTTATAAATAAAATCTTATAAATATAATTATATAGTATTTAAAAGTAGAAAAGTATGTTGTTTGTTGAATATATCAATATGTCTTTATTCTCAATGAAACAATCTCATTTATTTGCCTGGATGAATATGTTAATGTTATTTATGTTGATGAATTCGTCTTTTAAGCAATTCAAGATCAAAAGTTGTTAACGGTAACGTATTAATATGTATTTGTTCGTCCTAACATTGTCAACATAAACTTTGTAACGAATTGTCCTAACGCCTAGTTGGCTGAAAAATATGTTCAGTCCAATCATGTTGAAATGATTATGGTTGGTGATCATTTTAACATTTCATGGCTGATTTCTTCTAGAAAATGTGTCATAAACAAAACTGTGAAGGGCTAGTCGGGCCATTTAGTAAACAAACCAACTGACATTCCATGAAAATATACTATTTTTATGAATAGGCCATGGACAAACATGCAATAGCTGTAAAAATGTCTAGTTTGAGAAAGAAAAATAATAAAAAAACTAAACTAAAATACAACATAATTTATAATGCGGATTGAATGCCTATTTATTTAAAATACTAGCACTGTCTTTGTATAATTTATATTCTTTTAGTAAAGCTAAATCTGCATGTAAACCAATAAAGTTTAAAAATCCGGACGAATTAAGTCTCATGTAGTACCATTAACGTTTTCAACTGAAACTCGATATTCAGAATTTCTCTGGGACAACATATAACATACTTGCAGATCAAGTATTTTATCTGCAGTTAAAAAACTAAATCTTTAAATAATAATCTGTCTATCTTTGATTCAGAAATGCCAATTCTTGCATATTCTTTCATGTATTTCTTCCCTTCAATTTGCATTTTTTTAAACCAGGGAACCAGGGGATAGTCGAATTGTCCATTGAAGAATAAAGATAGAATTCTCATTTCCTATCTTTTAATTAGAGATAGAAAAAGATAAGAAAAAATGCATCTATTCTTATTTCTATCTTTCGGTTAGAATGTTTCAATATCTGAGATGGGTTAAGTCTGGTAAGGTAAAGTTATATATGGATTTAATACTATAAATAGACCATTTATGACGCGTTTCCAATTCGCTCGTATCGATCTATATCTAAAGTAAGCCAGTAGTAAAATCGTACTGATTTAAACGCGTGGGAAGTTTGATTACTACAACAAGGTAACTGTTTGATATATATATTTTTTTTAATTTTAACAGATAATATAGCATCAACAATAATGAACTTAATGTTTTAAAGATACTTAGTGTTTTATCATTTTCCAGTACGATTGCAGAGTAAACATTTCAAATGTTCTTAGCTAAAACTATAAATCAGTCTTGTAGATCGACTGTTTATAGAAATAATTTAGCACTTTATCGGTCAGTGTTCGTTAGTAAGTATTTACCAAATGAAGCTGACCAATTTAATTTTGTAAACGATATCTAATGAAACTTTACCTATACATATCAATCATTATCTATGTAGAAATTATGGCATCTTATTCACACAATAAAAGCACGAGTGTCATAATCAGTATAGGTATTTAAAGCGGCCTTCCGTTTTTATTTTCTATTGAAAAGACAATTCTGTGTTGTTTAAAACTAAATATTTCATTAATTTTCCGGCGTCCTGAGAGCTACTAATAACGTGTAAGTGACGCTCGTTTCTAAAAAGAGAAGATCAGGAAACAAATGAGCCGCGTCATGACAAAACCAACATAATGGGTTTGCGACCAGCATGGATCCAGACCAGCCTGCGCATTCGCGCAGTCTGATCAGGATCCATGCTGTTCGCTTACAGACCCTATAACAAATAGAGAAACTGAAAGCGAACAGCATGGATCCTGATCAGACTGCGCGGAAGCGCAGGCTTGTCTGGAACCATGCTGGTCGCAAACCCATTATGTTGGTTTTGTCGTGACGAGGCTCAAATCGTTTTACTAATTTAGATATTGAGATTGGACCAGTAGATTAGAGGTATCGAGACGGATAGGAAGTTAGAAGTAGCGTACTGTTTCGTTCTTTTGATTTTACAATTATATGAAATGATTTATTTAAAAATAACGTATCTAACCTTTAGAAAAGCTGAATGCCGCTTTAATTGTATTATGCCACTACTTGTTGTTATATCGTAATATTATATTTATCATGTTTTAGAAGATGACGAGTCAACTATATAAAAGTAATGGTATATACACTAGTTATACCAGCACTACTGGCAGAGATTGTAGAACAATGGAACCAGGGACACAGTGCTTTTGTCAGCATGTGTAAGAAATTATCTTGGTATTTTTATTAATATAAAGATTTATACAAAATCATTCAGTATAATCATTCACATTCTATAAAGTCTTTGTATATATTTATGAAATGAATGAATTAAATAAATTTCTTTTTAAATTCTTTGAAAAGGAAACGCCAAAAGAAAAGTTACACATTTTTATTATAAATACAAAATGTATAAAACATTATATTAGATAGTTTAGTTACATTTTTTAGATACAAGGATCACAAGACCGACTTTGATTTCATTCCGAAAGAACGTCCAATCAGATTGCCTTGCCGTGCGACTGGTTGTAAATGTGCCAGTTATCACTATGTACCGGCAAAGTGCTGTTCAGCCATAAAGTGTCATTGTAAACACGCTCCAGAAGAACATGAAGAATTTGGAAACTTAGTTTGTAAAAGAGGTAATATTCAATTCAAGTAAATTGTTAGCCCGGTTTCGAACACGGTTCTTTATTCACAGAAGGGAATGCAAAAATATGTTATTATTTAAGTACCTTAACAATGGGGACCAAAAAAACTCAAAGCACTTACTTTTAAATTAGTTACATGATTGCCAATCGTATTACATCATTATACAATAAAATACATAATTAAGCACTCATTACTTGCCAGAAATTTTAGTGGCCCGAAGCAGATTTCGTATATACCCTAAACGTATCAACCATTTAGCCCAAACACAATTTTAACTTTAAGTACTGATTTTGTAGCATGACATATAGTTTCAAAACTATGACCCAGAAAACTTACAATAGTCTGAAATATGATATCTTACAATATCAAACTTGTACATTCTATGAATATCTTGTATTATTTAGACCAAAGTTGAATTTACTAATTTCAGCTGATTGCAATAAATGCACGGGGTTCACAAGTTCGTTATTGTGCGGATGTGGAGTGCCCATTAGTGAGCACAGAATGACAGTTGAGACAGGCGACGAACGAGAAATTCGGCGAAAGGCCCGCAAACAGTCTTTATCGTAACCAAGTGTCCGTTTCTACGCTCCCCAGCTGCTTAGTAAATTCTGTGGATTTATTTAATTTCATGGGCATGAAGTTTCGTAGTTTTGTCACTGAGAAAATTTTTGTGGGTTCTTAAATTCGCCGACTGTCTATTTTTCAAAAAGGTAAAATGTAAATAATGCGATGCAAAATAATCTAACGAAATGAAATGGCGTTGGATCTTAAATTCCTTGGAAGACGTATCCGCGACAACCACGAAAATAAGTGTCCCACGAATGATGATAATTTTGCAATACATCAGCGTTAACATTCGACTGATGCTAGGAGAGTAAGAAACATAAATGACGATTTATTATGATAACAAAATCATGCAAAAAAGAAAACAAAGTCTGGATATGTTCTTTGTTTTATATTCTTTCAAAAATGTATGTGTAACCTCACAATTTCTCCGCAAAGAAAGTCAAACTCACATATGGAATTACATGTAATTGCAAATGGTATGATGAATAATTCTGGTTATGACATAGATACATCATGTCAAGTATTTGACAGATACTTCGTTCTATGCATTCTAAAATTATAATTATAATACATGTATAATATTTTGATTGTCTTGCTTTAATATGTGAATGATACTGGGCAAGGACATTTTGCAAGTGTTATGACAAAGATCTGTATTTTTTCTTTTGATTATTACATCGACATTGGTGAGACCTGTCAATAAAATTAAATCCAATAGGATAAAATCACAATGAAACAACGATGTCGACTTCCGTGTTGTTATATTGTTATGAAATTGTATAATCCTTGATGGTCAATGTATCAGGTGATGAAAATGTAATCATTAATTAGTATTAAACTGACTTTTAGCAAATGTGTGTTACATAATATATTTGGTTAAAAAAAATACCGGTTTATATTTGATAAAAACTAACTGCATGATCCTGATTTTACATATGGCATCACCAAAAAAAAATGATATGTGGCGGCATTGCCGAGTAGTTAACGCGTCGGACTAGTAATCTAATGATCGCTAGCCGCATAAGTTCAAACCCTGTCAGGGACAAGTCGTTGTTTCCTTGAGCAAGAAACTTTACACACATTGCTAGGTACTGGTTGGTTCCAGGAACGGATTCGAAAGTGTGTCTATAAGAAAAAGCTTCCTACACAATCCAACTAAAATAAATTCTGTATAAACTAAAAAAATGATATAAAAAGGTCAATCAAACCGTGTCTGTCAACGACATATTATGATATGTTTATATAAACTGCGTGTAACTTTTTGTCGATTTAGTGATTAAGTGATTTTATTTTCAAATTCAGCGTAATTATAGTAATGTATCACATATTAAAACATACATTATATGCCTTTTAACATTTATAATGTATGAAGACATTAACATATGTTGCAAATATGTTCTATAAAACATGTTATTATTACACTATTATTGTCTGAAATATACAATCTTTTCGTATGAAATAAATCAACAATAAAATAAAATTCAAATGCAACGCCTCGCTTTATTATTATGTTTGTTCATTCTTCATTTATCCTGTTTAAATGTCAACATCTATCTTTGTTTTTGCCTTAGTAAATGACATTTATTTATTCAATGAAATCATTTCCGAATAATAGCACAACAAATGGACTTCATAAGAGGTTTTACCGTAAAGCAGTGACTTCCACTCCGCCAGAATAAAAAGTTCATGATTCAAAATATGTTATTTCCTTTAGGCATCTTTTGACATGCCAGCCAAAACATATTAACCTCAAAAATGTCAGACTGCTTACACCTAATAAATGTACTATCATATTAACGATTTGGCTGTATGTTAAATGTATACATGTGCAAATAAAACCTCCTAAAAGCAAAGGTACATATACTTAACATCATGATATTAAAACATAAATGATCTTGTTTTACATGTATTTAGCTTGTAATGTTATTTAAGTGTTACAAGATAAACCAATAAATGTTTAATAATTTATAGACATACTTATGTCTATATATTTCATTGGAATACGCATTTACCTAACAATAATTTCTAATCGTACATATTATATACATATTTCATATGTTATATAATTATGCTTCGGGATCTATTTTGGAGCACTTCCGTGCCTGAAAAATATGTACAGAGGAGCACCTGTGATCTTCGACCACTAGTTAAGCTGAAAAGTCGCCATTTGGGTGCGACTTGAAATCGGACCAAACATTTATAATTTTATACTATAGAACTATTTCCTTTCTTTGTTTTGTTTTGAGGCTTTACAAGACATAGTTTGATTTTTGTTTCTTGTAAATACACTTATTGTGAACAAGATTTAACAAGTTGATTTTATTTTTCTATTCCTGCCAATGTTACACTGTCCATACTTTTACGCCCTGTTATTTAATATCAATTAACCTTAATAATAATAATTTTATTGGAGTTGTTTCTAAACTTATAGACAGACGGTGTTGGGGCTGGTTTACAGGTATTCACATTATCATTGGCAGCCATCTTATAAAAAATGTAAACGTGTGTCCAAACAACAAAGGGCAAAATTGCAATTGTTATCATTTCCAAAACTAGTGCGAATGAAAACTTTAGGAATACGAGATAGATACTTTCAAGTAAACAAACACTGAACCATTTTGCATGCTATTTTGTCTGGATATAGGGATTTTGTACTAAGATTTTCTTTATTGTTTTAGATTTATGAATCGTTTAATGTCGCAGACGAAACAGTTGCCAGCTTAATTGTTCGTTTTACAAGTTCATTCTAATCATAAAATCTAGTTTACGAGAGTGTGAATGACACAATATCAAATAGACAAAACAAATATTTATACAATTTATTTTGGTCAAACCAAGCGTTATTTAAATCCTGATATAAATAGAGATATAAACTGGACAATTCGTGACAACTTTTATCATGTAGGCGTTAATTTATGTCTTGTTTTATTTAAGTTAAAAGTTAACGAATCTTTCATATTTAACAACCGTCCAATCCTCATCCTATTTTACTAATTATGATGTATGTGTTTTACAAACTTTGACCATGCACTCATTTATCATATTTTTTTTCTAATTCACTAAGCGTAACCAGCTGGGAGTAATTCAAACAGCGGTTGTCATTCCGCTTTGAGGAAATAAAACTTAAAATTTAGTTGCGAAATATTTATGTTGCTCACTGTTGTATAAAATTGGTTAATCATTTGCGAATTGCCTCCTGTAAAATACATCTTGTGTGACTAAATAATGTGTAATCACGGATGTATACATACGTAATTAATTGTTTCAACGAATATTCAAGGAACATATAACGTACAGTGCTGACACCAGTAACCAAATCTTAAAATTTAAACATAATATTTATATAAGAGTTATTTAAAACGAAGGAAAATGTATGGAATATTTATCTTTGTAACGGTAATAATTAAAACTGTAAATTCACATGGCGGACATGGTGACACGTTACAGACTAAGAATGCAATACAAGACGCCCTCTTGTCTTACCTTTGTCATGGAGCAAATGGATATCCTTGTAACGGACACGGAAGTTGTTCTGGCGGAGCATGTACCTGCTACCATGGTTACAGTGGACTTAAATGTGAAATCAATGACGCAGATTTGACAAATATCGGAAATATTGGTGACACATTTCTTGGAGGCCCTGATACCGGAGGAGGACTAACCTTAGATGACCTACTTTCTCCACTTGCAATCACTGAATCTCCTCAAGTACTGGCATGTCTGTCAACAGATACAGACGCTTGTAGTGGACACGGTTTCTGTCATCAAGGTAGTTGTATATGCGAACCTGGACATTCTGGCATACTTTGTGAACTATCACATGAACAAGGATTTTGTAAAACTTATAAAGAATGTGCCGAGTGTACAGCTTTTATGAATGACTGTCCAAAAAAGTGTTCCTTGATTGCAAAGTTCAGACTCGTTTTTGGATTTCCAAGGGCAACCGATGGAGGCAACTTTAGAAAATGCCGCTTTAGAAATTCCGATTTTAACTGCACATTCTATTTTAAACAAGAAAGTGAGTCTCCGCAAGGGCTGAAAACTATTGCAGTAAAAGCCTGTTTGAATTATAATGAAGCTATTACAAAAGCAAACGAGACTGCAGATCAAATGAAAGACAAGCCTTTACAACCTGTCACACTATCGCCTACACCAGCCCTCACTACGACATCAACTGTTGACGACAGAAGTTCAATAGACCATTCACACGAACCGCATGACACTCATACGCATGATGATCATGCGCATGACACCATGGCTGATTCTGGGAAACAAGACACGAGCAAAGGCGGTTCAGGTGCAAGTGTTATTAAGCCAGGACTGTTTGTAATAATTGGAAGTGTACTAATGTTCTTGTGATTGTAAGTCATAGTAATCGTGTTCGAGTCAAATATCATCTTTATGAAGCCAAAAT